ATGCCAGAGTTATTATGTGCTGGTACGATGCACCAGCGTGTTAAGTGTCAAAGTATAACAAAACTGAATAAAACTTTACAATGAATTTCGAAAATTATGAAAAATGTAACATGATGGAATGCTATATGTTATCAGATAAGAATGCGACGTTAGCCGCGGAATTATATTTCACAAGGTATCCGGAAAGAAGACAACCGCATATGGTTGAAAAAAAGCTTTTAGATGAACATGATGCGGCGTCAATTGTTGCAGTAACGAACGCAATGGATTACGGTAAGGTGTCGTTAAGAAAAAGGGCAGTTCAAGTCGGTATAAGTAAATCCCATTTACAAAGAATTTATCGAGAAAATAAAATATTGCTGTATAAATCAAAATTTAACCACACTATCGACTTAGGTGATGTAGCAAAACGTTTAGATTGTTGTTTGTGGCTTGGGTACAAAATTTTGCAAGACAGAACTTTTTTAAAAAACATAATATTTTCGGACGAAGCATCGTTCACCACTAATAGAGTGGTTACATCATAAAATTGTCGATTCTGGTCAAAGACTAATCCACATTATCGCATAGCTTGTAAACGTCAGTATTCCCAGAAAGTGAATGTGTGGTGTGCTGGTTCGTGGGACGATGTTATTGGACCTTACTTCATAAACGGCAATTCGGTTATGTAAAACAAAAAGTGTACACTGAAAATTTTAATAACAATTTAGACCGTTTAAAACAAAAAATTGAAACTTATTAGAGAAATTCCGTTGGACCATATTAGAAAAAGTTATAAACAATGTCGGAAAAGGGCTGAATTATGTATTAAATCGAAAATGTTTTGTTAATTTTATGATTTAAAACTCTGCATTTTGCTTTTATATCCTAAATCCGAATTTTATTTCGGCATATCGCTATAATTTAACATAACAAACATTTTATTTTAATCATCTTTTGTTGTACATTGCTCAGAAAGACCACTTTACCTGCTACGGTTAACAAACTTCTTGCGTTAACTTTGGTACTTTGAGGACATTTAACGTAAAACTTGGTTATATTTCGTTTTATGACATCCAGACTTTAATTGCAAAAGATGGAATTTGAATTCAAAAATTTATCGTCAATTATACCTTACGGGGACACAATCCGGGGACACACTGTATATGAAGTGAAATATGGAGGCAAAGTATTTATCTTACTCTGTAATTTTGTTTGGATAGTTTGATGCGAATACTAAACGTTGGGGTATAATTTTCGAAATAGTTTCGTGTAAACAAATAAATAAAACAATTTTATTTTATAAATTTCCTGAAAATGCAGCTGACGCTTTCACCATTTTATAGCAGAATCTTCCACTTTAGCACGTAACCAGAATACGACTGTTATACAAAAAATTTTCGAAAGAAATTTTATTTCTCTTACACAATTCACATTTTTACATAACTTGTTTACAACATTTTTGAATATAGTTCATTATGATTCATCTAAATTGTAAGAAAATAAATTTTTAAAGAACCAGTTAATAATTTAAGTTACATCACACCACAAACTTTAGTTACTAATTAACAACATAATTTAGTCAATTACACCTTTTAACTTCTCCCAAAACCCATAAATATTTATAAGTTCGAACGGGATTTGAGAAAGTTATTTATAACTTTTCATATAAGTAATAAACATCATCTAATTAAACTTTTATTTATATACAGGATGTACAAAAAGTATGGAATAATGGTTCTACAGCTTAAACTTCAATTTATATTAAAAAAGTTTTAAATAAAAATGACTTGAAACAATTTTTCGCATATCTTGGCATAGAAATAAAATAAAAATCTTGACGGCAGTCTGAGTTACGACATGGTGAGTGTGTTTTTTAAATGGAGCAGCTTGTATATTTTAACGTTTTTGGATTCCTTTTGACAAGGTGTTGCAAAATGCCATAAGGTTTTAATGCTTTAAACTGCATAGTATTCGAGATATTGAAACTTTTTTATTTAAAAAGAGTTGATGTAGCGACAACCAAATTATGGCGTCATTATGGAATAGACAACCTAAGCCTTGACGTCACAGAGATGGGCAGAGCTTATACTGACTCCAAACAGTTTCGTTGCTAACTGTGTTTGCAACTTGTTATAACTTGTTATGCAATTTTCAATTAGTGTTAAAATAAAATAAAGTAAATGATGACATTTTTTGGCGACTTATCGTTAGCAACGAAATTATTTGAAGTCACTATAGGATCCGCCCATCTCTGTGACGTCAAGGCTTAGGTTGTCTATTCCATAATGACGCTATAATTTGGTTGTCGCTACGTTTTAGACACTACAGTTTAAAGCATTAAAACCTTATGGCATTTTGCAACTCCTTGTCAAAAGGAATCCAAAAACCTTAAAATATACAGGGTGTTCTATTTAAAAAACACACTCAGACGTCGTAACTCAGACTATCGTCATCATTTTTATTTTATTTCTACGCCAAGATATGCGGAAAATAGTTTGAAGTAACTTTTATTTAAAAATTTTTTTCAAGATAAGTTTAAGTTTAGCCTGTACAACCATTATTCCATACTTTTTGTACACCCTGTATATTGGAATTCTTCATTACCAGCAAATCTAATTATTATTATGTCACGATGGTTAAGGAATATCTTCCGAAAAAATTTCTCGTTCGTCAACGTACTGGAAAAATAATTTTACGGAAAACAAACATAATATGTGTCGTTTTCACGCATATTTAGTTTTCGTTTTTTGTTCAACCGTTAAATATAGGTCGTTATTTCCCGATGTTAAAAGAAATTTTTGCAATTTTCCTTATTACATCGTTCAAAAAAAATTCTTCTTTTCAATTTTAAATAAATAGATTCACGTAGTAGATATCTTATCAAAATGATTTCAGTTTCAATTCATTACGTACTCAAATTTCATCTTCCCACTTTCTAATTGAATTAATTACAAGTGTTAGATGTTTTATTAATGAACTATTGTAACATCCTAAATGATGCTACGCAAAGAATTAAAAACAATTAAATTAGAATAAAAAATTTTAAAAAATTCACTTTCTTTTTACGATTTTTAAGGTAAATTTATATTCTTTGATACATATTTTCGCCATTCTCGCCAGATTTTAACTGCTTTGCTTTCACAACAGCTTGCTATTGTCGTGTAATGTTTTAAATACGTGCGCGGAAATTTACAAGAAACGTTTCTGTACATACAAATTTTAATAGTTATGAATATTTTGAATAAAAACAATTTTTGGTTAAATTTCAAAAAGCTTTCCAAAAGATGTTTTAGTGTTCTTCCCGGTTGAAAATCGTAATAAAACTTTTCACTTAAATACCAAAGTTAATTGATTGCATATAATTTACGACCTTTAAACTTTCGTTTGAATACTCTGTCCGTTTCAAAATCGAGATTTTAATATTCCGATTCGTTTTCTTCCTTGTTCTTCGCCCCACTCGAAGATCAAACGAAAGAATCGAACGGTTTATGAGTTAAAAAAAAATTATGTAACCCCTACGAGTAGGTACCCTGACATTCGAAAAGTTCTGGATTGAATTGCACGTAAATCACGTTTCGTGACAGAAATTTCGCTATTGGCATGGTAGAGTGGAACCTATTTCCTTTTTATGTAACGCTTCTGAAGGCTTCCACCTTCTGAAAACGGACAAAGGTGGGGTTTGTCATCGACCACTATTTATATAGAACCACGACAACCCGTGATCATACCATAACGGATACTTTCGGTGTTTATATTAGTAAACTTGTGAACTAGCCACAAAAAAGATATTAAAATGGCCTTCGTTAAAAGTTTGGTAAGAAATTAATCAATTTATTTTTTGGTGATTTTAATTCTTTTTTTAGTTGGTTTTAGTTGCTGTGTTACTTGCTCTTGTAGCTGGTGCACCAACACCTGGAGGATGGGGAGGGCATCAGTAAGTATTTTCTTTTTAATTTATTTATCTTTTTTCTTTTTATTTTAGTTTAGATTAAAATACTTTTCCTTATGTAATCTCACTTTCCTTTTTCGTATTTGGTTAAAACAAGGTGTTGTATCTTGAATTTTGAGTAGGTTCGAGTTTAAATTGGTTCTAAATTCGATACATATGGGGATTTCACTTTCTTTTCCTGCTCGGATCTTAACATTCTTACACAAAATTCTTAATTAATTTATTTCTTTTAGTGAACATCACATAATTCATGTTCCGTACCACGTTCACACCGTCCATCACACTCATTTAAGAAACGTGGTCGTCCCGGTGCCGATTGTTAAGAAGATCTACGTCCATCCGCATGTTGACCATCACGTTCACGGAGGCTGGTGGTAGAAGTTTTCACAAGTTTACAACACCGCTTTTTATTATTACAAAATGTTATAATAAATTAGTACTATAAGTTAATTGCTCCAAAGAAATTTCTTCTACAAATAGAAAAATCTTTGAAAGCTACGATAATAAGGTGAAGTTCGAGGAAGATCAAGTTAATTTTTTTTCGTTGATGTCCTCGTAGTTACCAAAAAATTCGTTGTTTTAATAGTCAATGTAAATATAATTTTTTGTGTATTTGTACTTATGAATGTATCCTGTAAAAGATGTACAAAATTAAAATTGATTTTTTTATTATCAAAACGTTTAATTTTTTTGCCTTATCTCAAAATAAATTTGATATGCACGATATGATCAAAATCCTCAAAAATAATCGTGCTAAGTCAATTGTGATTGCAAACAAAATTAATATTAAACAGATAAAAAATTAAAAGAATAACTTCAACAACGAAACATAAACTCAAATGATGATCTAACAACAAATTAAGTCTATTGAAATGCGAATTTATTCAAATAATTAAAGAGTAACCTAATTTGAGCTTCAATTTGTTGCCTCATTTATACTATAGTTTTTGATTAAACTTGGCAGAAACTAGTGATGGAACGGATAGTGATTTTGCGAATAGCCGGATACCGGAATTTAATAGTAAATTTTGAAAGTTATCGATGAAAATTGCAACATCGAAAATTTTAGCAAAACTTCAAATATTGTTCTCTCAAAAACTAAAAGCTATTCTTCAAAATGGCTTGATGCATTAAAAAGAGCATACTTTAATTAATAATTGGTGATATTTCCACAAGGATCCTTCAAGGAATGAATTTTATAGCGAATTTTGAAAATTATCGATGAAAATTGCAAAATCGAAAATTTTATCAAAACTTCAAATATTGTTTTCTCAAAAACTAAAAGCTATTTTTCAAAACGGGTTGGTTCATTGGAAAGAGGACACTTTTATTAACACTTTGGGAAATTTTCATACTCATATTCCAAGAAATGGATTTTATACGAATTTTTAAAACTTAATCGGCGAAAATTGCAAAATTCGAAAAAATTGTCGATCATTTCAAAAATTTATTTCTCAAAAACTAAAAGTGATTTTTCAAAACGGCTTTTTGCATTAAAAAGAGGATACTTTAATTAATAATTGGTGATATTTCCACAAGGATCCTTCAAGAAATTAATTTTATAGCGAATTTTGAAAATTATCGATGAAAATTGCAACATCGAAAATTTTATCAAAACTTCAAATATTGTTTTCTCAAAAACTAAAAGTTATTTTTCAAAACGGGTTGGTTCATTGGAAAGAGGACACTTTTATTAACACTTTGGGAAATTTTCATACTCATATTCCAAGAACTGGATTTTATACGAATTTTTAAAACTTAATCGGCGAAAATTGCAAAATTCGAAAAAATTGTCGATCATTTCAAAAATTTATTTCTCAAGAACTAAAAGTGATTTTTCAAAACGGCTTTTTGCATTAAAAAGAGGATACTTTAATTAATAATTGGTGATATTTCCACAAGGATCCTTCAAGAAATTAATTTTATAGCGAATTTTGAAAATTATCGATGAAAATTGCAACATCGAAAATTTTATCAAAACTTCAAATATTGTTTTCTCAAAAACTAAAAGTTATTTTTCAAAACGGGTTGGTTCATTGGAAAGAGGACACTTTTATTAACACTTTGGGAAATTTTCATACTCATATTCCAAGAAATGGATTTTATACGAATTTTTAAAACTTAATCGGCGAAAATTGCAAAATTCGAAAAAATTGTCGATCATTTCAAAAATTTATTTCTCAAGAACTAAAAGTGATTTTTCAAAACGGCTTTTTGCATTAAAAAGAGGATACTTTAATTAATAATTGGTGATATTTCCACAAGGATCCTTCAAGAAATTAATTTTATAGCGAATTTTGAAAATTATCGATGAAAATTGCAACATCGAAAATTTTATCAAAACTTCAAATATTGTTTTCTCAAAAACTAAAAGTTATTTTTCAAAACGGGTTGGTTCATTGGAAAGAGGACACTTTTATTAACACTTTGGGAAATTTTCATACTCATATTCCAAGAAATGGATTTTATACGAATTTTTAAAACTTAATCGGCGAAAATTGCAAAATTCGAAAAAATTGTCGATCATTTCAAAAATGTATTTCTTAAAAACTAAAAGCGATTTTTCAAAACGGCTTGTTGCATTAAAAAGAGGATACTTTAATTAATAATTGGTGATATTTCCAGAAGGATCCTTCAAAAAATGAATTTTATAGCGAATTTTGAAAGTTATCAATGAAAATTGCAATATCGAAAATTTTATCAAAACTTCAAACATTGTTATCTCAAAAACTAAAAGTTATTTTTCAAAATGGGTTGGTCCATTGAAAAGAAGACAGTTTTATTTATTTAGTTGCCGGATATCCGTTCCACCACTAGCAGAAACGTTGAATTACGAAAAGGTAGCAATTGATTTAAATTTGGGTTGTGTTGGATTACGTTGAGTTGGGTTCTGTGAAGAAAGAAGAGAGATAAGAAAACAAGGATATTAGAAATCGTGATGAACTTCTTCAGAAGCGTAATGGCGACGATGAACGAAGACGATAGGGAAAGACAAGGAATAGATTGAGCATATCAATAACAAGAACTTTATGCCAAGACAGTCTGCAGGAATGCGCAAGCGAGTCCAGACTCTACATGTTTCCAAAAGGGTCAGGGAATGAATGGGTTTTAGTCGACAACCTGGATCCTTCCTTTGCGTAATCAACACTTCCATACAGATTTCATCTTCTATCATTGATGCCACCAGTATGCACCGGAGTGCATAAAGCATTTCTCCGACTTTATGCCAAAAAAGAGGTAGTACACGGAAGCTCCATAAAAAACAGGTTTCCATCTAGCTCAAACAGTAGCACCCCGCCTGGTTACAGGCGAAGAAGTTTCGTCAGAACCGAGACGGCACCGGGATGATGTTTATCTATGTGTGACTGTACGTTTTTAAGCACTATAAAACAGAAAAGAAAGAATGGATAAGAAGACGATACAGAAAAAAAAAGATAAGAAGAAGAATGAGTGCACTGGAAAAGAATATGGCAAAGGTTATGGAATACGGATAAGATATTATCAAGATATTATCTACCCAATAATTTGTTGACCATAGTTGTGACTCGTCCTTTACGTTGCTTTAGTATAGGAAGATGCCTTTAAATTTGGAAAGCATGCAGAACATGCAAAACTGAGAGAGTGTAGCATAAGTGGTAAAAGCAGTGGGCTAGATGCATTAGTTGAACAAAAACCTTTATTAAGTGGGTTATGGTGTGGCAGCAGGGAGGACTACTACACCACACAAACTTAAGAAACTTAAGAAAGAGAGATGAAATTAGAAATGCTGCAGGAGTTTGAAGAAAGTAACGTCAAAAGAGGGACCAGAGAAGTCATGACGAAACCTTTTCAGAAGAGTGATGACAACGATAGAGGAAGAAGAGAGGGTCACCAGTATGCCGGTGCATAAACCATTTTTCCTTTTCTGCGTCAAAAAAGGAGTTGGGTTGGACTGGGTTGAATATAAAAAAGTAGGTGAGAGTTGGAGAGACTCCCCATGTCTTCGTGGTATCAATTTTAGTAGATGGTTGATTTAGTCTTGACGCATAATATCTCAAGCAATCAATAATTCCTGCTGTAGAACTTGCATCCTCTGCGGATGATGAAACAAATTCCTAAATCTTCTGCCCATAATGTCCCAAATCTATTTTTACTAAAATGGGTGAAAAATCAGGAGAAAATTAAAAATAAACCATGTAAAAGAGTTGTTCTTTTTCATAATATTGATGTAAATGACAAAAAGATAAAATGCATAATAATTTATATTTATGTAAATAAAAAAGCATGTAAATCTTAAATTCTTGTTTATAGATATGTATGTATGTATAAACAAGGCTTAACTGTTTATATATTACTTGAAAACTATTGGAACGTGAAAATAAGTAGTTTTTTTTCTATCTTATTGTTTTCGATGGAAAGCTTCTTTTCAAAGTTTTCACCATCGTTTTATGTCTATTGATTGGCGTTACAAAAAAATAAACCATATAGTAACATTAGAAAGTACACGTGAAAGATCGATTTGCTTCTTATATCAATTAGTTTTAAAAAAGAAATGAGATCTAATATTGCGCTTTAAAGACATTTATGTGTCTCAGTTTTAGTTTATTTTCATTAATAAATTGGATATGTTTAACGAACTCGAACCGTGTCATTCTTATTTATTAATCCTTAAAAGGTAAAAAATGAAATGTAAACGTTTTTTATCTCAATTATATTAATTTCATAATCATTAGAAAAGTCAAAATTAAAGATAAAATTAAATATAGGTACATTGTTTTTTAGATTCAATCTACTTTTTTTTAAATATCTTTTTGGTTTCATTTAAGGCGCCATCTCTTAACGCTGAGTTAAATTAAATATTTTCCGGTGAATTTGAAAGAGAAATCTTTTGAAAACTAGGAGATACTTTCTATCTTACAAAAATATTTCTTTCATAACAACAGTTAAGGTTTTTGTATTTTAACCTATAAACTCTAGATGGTAGCATATATAATAAAGTGAAATATTTTTTTCTTGAATAAGTTATTAATTAGTTTACTTTGTCATTTAAATTCCGTAAGTACGTTAGGGATCCCAAAAATATCTGATTATATTTAAAGAGTTTTGAAAGAAAAATTCAGTTACTGAAAACAGTGATGAGGATCTTGAAAAAGATAAAGAGCATCATGATCTAGGTGACCTAGCTATAATAATAACTGATGATGGTGGATGAAGTCAAGGTTTAATAAAAGTTTAATTAATTTAAGAGATCCCGGATTATGGCCGGATATTCTAGAACATAAAGACAAAGTTTTCTTAGTCGAAAATAAACCCGAACAAGTAAGAGCTTGTTCCCCAACCCAACCCAACCCACCAAGTTTCTAAATCGCTGGGAATTTGGCCCACCGAGCTCCAAGCGGAGCTGGTGGCCATTTCTCTGGCGACTGAGGAAATTTCCAAGAAAATTAATATAGTAGAAACCACGAGAGCTGGCAGTGACAGATCGCTTAAAAATGGTATGAATCAAGATATGGACGTACGACTTAGATTATTTCACCACATACATTTAAATGTAGGTTATGTTAGTAATGGAGGTTATATGTCAAACATTGTCAAAGATATTATTTAATGATTTTCCTTTCAAAGAAAACATTTTCGGCTTGTGAAAACACTAACAGATTCATGACAACGCTCACAAGACGTTTCGATTTGAGGT